ATTCCTTCTCCTCCTCCTTCTCCTTCTTCAACCCCTCTGGTCGGATGCCACTTATGAAATTGAATGTAAACAAACTGAGTGTTCGACGCGTTGACATTACTCGCTTCTCCCCTTTCTACTTTCAGTGCTCGAGTCTCGTCCACCCCCACAAACCCTCTCAGAGTCAATGTCTGAGTCTTTACCCCGCATTCATTCTTCTTTACCACATTCTCCCCACCGCCTAGCCGTCTGGCATACATACATATGTACTTATATCGGGCGCCAGGCAGGCAATTAACGTTGCGATTGTCATAAATTTAACAACACAACCCACAACCAACCAACCAGCCAACCAATGCACAGATTATTAAACATTCATTAAATAAATTACACCAGAAAATGCATAAATTCTGAATTGATTTTGAATGCAAGGAAATGGCATTCCTCTCGCTCGTTTTCCTTCCCCTCTTTGCCTGAAGTAAGAACAAAGCTAAAGTTATCTGCTTATTGAATTATAACCGATTTCTTGGGTGAAAGAATGGCCCAGGGGGTAAAAACAAAAACATAAATTCCTGCAGTTCAGGGCAAAGAGTCTTGCATTGAAATCAATTTCAGAAAAGCGTTCAAGGGTTAAGTCTTGGTTGCAGAGTGGGGGAGAAGCATTCTGGGGTTAAATTTCAGTCAAAAGAAACGGCAAGGAAGATGTATTCCAGGGTTAAAGGGGCAGCAAATAAATTTTGTAAATGCAACAAAAGTGGGGGAGACACTGAAGTGGAAAACCCCCAAAAGGGAAAAGTTTGTTAGTGTGCGGAGGGTGGGAAATGTATAGATTTTATGGCATTTGTGGCTTGTCGTCTGGCAGGGGTTGCATGAATATAGCTCTAAGGGGAATGTTGCTGCAGCGGCATATGTAAGCACTAGCCAGCCATAACAAGCAAATCGAATAGTTATTGAAATTTCCACATAAAATATTGGAGCAGCCATCTAAAAAGGGACGGGGGGAAAACAGAGGGCTGGAATTTCTCAATCTCTTCATCTTTGAGATTTTCGCTTTGTGTTCGGGTTTAATTTGGAAAAAATATTAGCTTAAGATAATGAAAATTTAGCTGACGGGGGAATGCAATAAAAAGTTCAACTTATCTCCATTTCCCTATACAATAGATTATTTCCTGTCTCGCGTTTTGACAATTCGGCAGAGAATATTCATTAGGATTATTCCATTTTTTCACCCACCAAACGTGGGAGATAAAGAAAGTATCTTCGTTGAAAAGACAGACCGAGAAAAGGCAGTATCGTTCTTCAGTATTTTTGTATTTTTGGAAATAAAAGCACAACCTCTTGAAACGAAATGACGAAGAATGAAGTGAATGTCAACGTCCTACCACTGTCCTGTCCTGCCCCTATTCTCTGCCTTACCCCACTCAAAAAACAAAAACCAGACCCAACTGAATTTATATATATAGTATGTACATATATTTGATGGCACTGCTGACAATTTATGATGCAAATTCCTCACCCAAAAACTCAAGAATGACAGAGGATGCGACACACACACACAGTTGTGGGGTGTGGGGGTCGGCCTCCGACAAATTGTCGAGAAATTGCATAAAAATACGAGAGAGAGAAAAAGGACACAAAAAAAGCTACACACAAATTGTTATGCTGAAAAATCTGTAATCTGAAGTAGTTGCGGATGCACTCGAGAGATATTTATGGAGGGGGTACAAGAGAAATCATAAAAGAGAAACGTAGGGAATTTCTGTTATTGGGATTGAAATATTTTGATACCCTAGGTGGATGCAAACTATGAGAGTGTTCGATTTTGATTGAAATTTCTTTGAGATATAAAGAAACCCTTTTCATTAATCTTCAGGAATTTATTACAAGGGCATAATTATCAGATTTGGTAAATAAATATATAAATGTATAGGTTTTAAAATTTTATTTTTTTTTAAAAGGTATACACATTTATAGTGTATTAAAAAAACAGCTAAAATGCCAAATAAATGTATGCAAAAATCTTCAGTGTGCTGCTTTTATGTCCACCATCAGATTTTTCTCCCCCATTTATGATTTTTTTGGTTTTGTTTTATGTGTTTCTGTTGATTCATCAGAAAATAAATTGAAATATTTCTCTGTTGACAGAAGCATAGTTTTTGTTGCTGTTTGTTTCCATTTGATGATTTATTTAATTTACTAAAACTAACACAAAATATTGAACAGGCATGCTCTTCGACGTGTTTTGATAATAAAATCACGTTCACACGCTTACGGCCACAAATCAATTGGTGGCTAGAGTCCCCAGGCCCCACTGATACCTCTTCTATCGAGTGGGAAACCACCAAAAAGTGAATCCAACCTACATTTCATTATAAAAATAATTCCTCTTTTTTTTTTGAATCTTTTTGAGGACCCAAATTCGTGGAACTGCCTACCGCTCTCCCGTTCTCTCCTTCTCACACTCATTTTTCACCCCACAAATCAGTTTATTAGCAGCCTCGGGGTTCGTTGGTCAATATCAATCTATCCCCACTGATTCATTTTGGGCCAGTCCATTCTGTCCATCCCATTCAACGTGTGCGGTCACAATATCCCCTCTACATTTGCCTATTTTTCTGAACCACATATCCCACATTTCCCCCCTCTCTACCATCATCTATCCTCTGCTCTCTTTCTGTTTAATATGCCACATCATTTCAGCAATGAAAACAAACTGTTTTTGTAGCAAAATATTTATGGACATTCAAAACAAATAAATATGGAAAAATGGCAATTTTCAATAGTCGTTGTGGCGTCATCTGTTGGCTAACCGCAACAAAGAGCGGAGGTCTATATCCCAGGGAATAGTTAGAGGGGTGGGATCTCATTAATGAAGCTGAAATACGAGCCAAGAAGTGAAGTGTGAATCGTGCGAATCGAATCGAACCATAGAAATGCCGTGGATGGGGGGGCTTCCGGATTGAGGGAGGGCATAGTAAAATCGAATGTATTATTGAATATACGAGTGTGTTGCATATAATCGTATTTCAACAGTTGCAGAATGTGTGTACAACATCGTAAATTTAAGAATTTTATGGAATTTTACACTAAAAATGTGAAATTTACAAGTTTCAAAAATTTCAGAAGTATCAAAGTACACGAATTATAATAATCATGCGTTTCATATAACATCATTTAATGTTTATATATTTGTTGTAAATTAATTAAATCAAAAGCGTTGCTCACTTTATACTGCAGACATATTTCAGGTCTTCCAAATTTTAGTTAGGATTATTCCGAAGAAAAGTGGGCTGTAAAATTAAGAATTTATCTTTATGATTTTCATATAGGAACTTAATTATAATATAAAAATATAATATATAATAAAATAAATAATATAATATTTAATGTAATATATAATATAATGTATAAATGTGAACAATATATCAGAACATCAAATAAAATAAAAACTTTAGAATCATAAATAAGAACGGATACCGATACACTTATTCCATATAATAGATTTTAAAGTCAGAAACCCTATGGTCACACTTATTTAAAGTGAAACTTGCTGACATAGTGTTGAAAAACTTTCGCCCGTGGTAAGGAGAGAAATTGTTTTGATCGAAACAGCTTCTAGTGTTGTAGAACTTTCCACAACACTGCTCGAGAAGTTATATTCCGTTCGAATTGAAGCCCCTTCCTATTTTTGGTGTTTCTTTTACCTTTTGTCTGTATGTTTTTCTCTTTTGTTGCTCTGCCTCTAAGGTAATTTTTCCATTCGGCCAAAAACAGACCGCCTCCAAAACAATATTCCACAATCTGTTATGAATTTTTATTGAGTTGTTGAGAAATTAATTTATTGCCAACGTGTGCTGGATGGATTCCTCAAATGATGAGAACCGATCAAAAAACGTACAGAATACAGAATCGGGGGCATGTGCTGCAGTGTAGTTACCTCATCTTCAACCTCATGAAATGGTGGTGCATGTTGGATTCCGGCAGGGGGTGGGCGGAGGGGAGCATTCACTGCCTGAATTTAAATGGACAAATTAATTGCGTGTTTTTGTCAGTGTCTGTTGTGTGTGTGTGTGTCTGTGGACAGGTTCTGGCCTGGCCATTTGCAACAAAAACAAGGCAACAAAATCCTCGAACAAAGAATTAATTGGTTTTTGGACACTGGATGAAATATATTTAATTTGGAGTCTTAATGCCGGACAGAGATTGCATTTGCATCCCATATAGATCCCTGAAGATCTCATCTCCATTATCGTTTCTGTGTGTGCCATCAAATAGCCATTAAACAGTCGACCATCATCCTGAAAGGATCGCACAGCAGACCTCAGGCAATTTATTTCGATGGTGATTGAGTATCGCTTTGGCGGGACATAAATTATCACACGATTCACGAGGGTTCGGGCTAAAAGTATAGGCGCTATTCCATCTATAAAGAATTCCTCGATCGATCCCCTCTTCATTATGCCAGATCCTCGTTCGAGTTGACAGTTTTATTGTGTCGCCTTTATGTGAATTAATTGAGTCGCATCGGAACCCAATGAAGTTGTGTCTTTCCAAGGAATGTCGCTGGACGCTCTACCTTCTCTCTGCTGTTGCTGCTTGCCCTGCCCCCTGGGGCAAGAGATAGGCCGGACCACACATTGCGAGAGCCAACATTCTTCTCTCAATCTCTCTAACAAATTGGCTATTTTCATGCCACGGCTACGGCTGGCTGCTGCCTGACTGTGCCTGCGGGTGCGAGCCGATTGCCAATTAATTATAATTGATTAGCGGATATTAAATGAAATTATGAAAACGTTGAAGCCATGATGAAACGATAATGATGATGATTATTCGCTGATAAAGCACCCGCAGATACGTTTTCTGGATATATTTCCATACACAAAAAAACGACTTAATTGTCGTTTAAATTGGTTAAAGATATTTCTTAATCGATTTAGAAAAAGAAAATATCTCTGATTCATATTTTTATCAATAGTTTTATTTAGCCACAACCCTGACCGTTAGCTACAACTCTGCCCCACTTGCAACCCTGTCTTCTCTCTCTGCTCTCTCTATGTAGAAAAGTGCTTATCATTGCGAAAGCTGTCAAACGCAAGAAAGAAAGGTAAAAAGTAAATATTCTTTTGCTTTTTAACGTGTACGATTTTTCATCGTTTTTTTCATTGGAAATCTTCCAATTGTCAGCAAAAAGTCCTGTGGTTTACCAGCGCATTAAGAGAAACAAACAGAGAGTGGGGAGAGAGCGAAATATCAATGGGTGGTGGTCGGAAAAGTGAAAAGCGCCTGTCGCGTAAAAATCGCAGTGGAAGTAAGCCGAAAAATACGGTTTCCTGCTATACGCGTCCTCGGTCCAGAAATCGTTCACGCTCCAAAGATCGCTCACGCTCCCGTTCCCGCTCTCGTTCCCGCTCCCGCTACCATTCCAATCGTTCAGCTGCCATTTTTCAGAACAAGTCAACAAAACGCCGTCGCGGCACCAGCCTGTGGGATGTGCCGCCCGTGGGCTATGCCCATGTGACGCCAATGCAATACAAGGCCATGCAGGCCAGCGGTCAGATCTCGGCGCGCATTTTGTCGGACACACAGCCGTCAGCGGACACGGCGGCCATTGCAATGGTGACGCGACAGGCGCGACGCCTCTACGTGGGCAACATCCCATTTGGCGTCACCGAGGAGGAGATGATGGCGTTCTTCAATCAGCAGTTCCTGCTGGTCGGCGACGACTGCGGCGGGGAGCTCACTCTCGATGGCAAGGCGGTGCTGTCGTGCCAGGCGAATCTGGACAAGAATTTTGCCTTCGTCGAGTTCCGTTCGATGCAGGAGGCCACGCTGGCGACCAACTTTGATGGCATCTCGTTCCGTGGACAGGTGTTGAAGATACGACGGCCACACGACTACCATCCGGTTGGTAATGCTGGCATTGGCGTTGGCATCGATGCCATGCGAGGCTGTGCCTCGTCGGCATCATTTCTGGTTGGAAAATCGCTGCTCTCTGTGGCCACTACCGTTCCAGGTGCACTGAGCAGCCAGGCAGTGCCAAATCTCGTTCCCGATTCGCCGCACAAGATCTACATTGGGGGTTTGCCCAACCTGCCTGAACGAGGCACAGATCAAGGAGCTGCTGCTGTCCTTTGGCCTGTTGCGTGGCTTTAATCTGGTCAAGGACCCCAGCACGAGCCTCAGCAAGGGATACGCCTTCTTCGAGTACATCGATCCATCGCTCACGGAGCAGGTCATTGCCAGCCTCAATGGCATGCAGCTGGGGGATCGCCGCCTCATCGTTCAGCGCTCCATTCCCGGCGGTCGCTACTCGAGCACCCAGCAGATTCCCATTCAAGTGCCTGGCATAGTGGCGACATCCTTCGCAGCAGCCACCACGGGACTGAACAATGCCACCCAAGTGCTGTGCCTCCTCAATATGGTGCTGCCGGAGGAGCTGTTGGACAGCGAGGAGTACGAGGACATACGCACCGACATCGAGCAGGAGTGCAGCAAATACGGCGAGGTTCTTAGTCTCAAGATACCACGGCCCCACGGTGTGAGCGTAGACGGAGGCGCAGGCACTGGCACTCCGCCCAAAGGCTGTGGCAAGGTGTATGTCCATTTCAGCACCATCGAGGATAGCGAAAAGGCTCTGGGTGCCCTGAGTGGCCGCAAATTTAGCGGCCGCATTGTCATTGGTTCATTTTTCGATCGGGACAAATATCTGTCAGATGATTTTTGATTTTTCATTAGAGTTTGCTTTTTGCAATTTTTAATTTAATATAATAAATAAATATAGATTATTGAGTAATAATTCGATTAGAGATTTGTGAGTTGAAAAAAAATTTAATATTTCCAACTACAACTAGAATTTGCGGGTTTTTTTAGGCGATTAATGGGTGAGAGCCAATACTTGGGGCACGATTTCTACAAATAAATAAACAAGTTTCAATAATCTGAAGAGCCTTTAGATCTGTCAGATATGTTGGTGTTGAATCCTTATTGAAACTTTAATCTTTTAAGACTTTAATCCCCGCAGACGAACCACAGAGCAGTTCTCCTCTTTCCCCTCTCTCTCGCCACTGTCATTGTTGTTGTTTTTGTGTTGATATTATCTGCTTAATGCCTAAGAAATTGCTTCAAAAATATCTGAAGGGATACGCCTCATTCTCTCGCCTTTCGTTTTGGGATTCAATTAGGGCAACCGACTTAATGCTGCAATCCTTAAAGCTCTCTCTTCTACAGAGAGAAAGAGAGAACTCTGGTGTACGCCTCCTTCTCTGTTCTCCAGGCGCTTCAGTTTGGGGCACAGCTTTTGCTTAATTAAAATTTTAAACCTGACGCTTTATCGCCCCTGGAATTTCTCACAGCAGATTCACACCTACCGAAAAAAAACCTTGGCACATCCCAAGCCTCTTTGCTGCCTTCCGCTGCCTCCTACTGGAAACCTGAACCCCAAAGTCAATCTCATTATGGAGCTCAGATCCCACAGACCCTGTAAAGGGCCTTCTTCAATGGCCGAAGCTTCTTCAACGTCTTCTTATCTCTCTCGCTGAACGCTGAGCGGCAGTACGGTTGCATTTTCTCAGGTTTCATTCTCCCGAGTGACAGACGGACAGACAGACAGACAGTGAGAGGAGTGCCTTCCGATGTATAATGTACCCTTTGAGGGTTTTTCTTATCTTTAGCTTTTGGTCATTTGCCCGACAGCCGATCATCAATAATGAAATGCTTGCCCGCTGCCGCGTTGAAAGCACAATCCGGTTAAAGGGGAATACAAACGATTTATCTCAGTGGAGAAACGACAATCACGCGGCGACTAAACGCTTTATCGAAAGACGGTACGCTCTGGAGATTGTGAAATACGGACTCCTCTCTTTCTCTCTTACTGTGGAGACACAAATTAATTCAACGCCTTTGGATAATGTCATTTACCAGAGAAGAGAAGAGGATAGGATAGGCTGCTGCTGCTGCTGCTGCCATTGCCTTCATTTATCCATCCAAAACTTCTTTCGATGCCGCCTGTCGCTGTGTCTGTCCCAAGAAAATCAATGCCCTGCTGCTGCTGCCTCCTCGATGGGTAATTAATAAACGCCCATAAAGATACAGCGGATACAATAAAAATTCCATCGATCGGACTGAACACAGAGAGAGAGAGAGAACTTTGAGAAGAAAAAAAAGGGTTTCATTTGATTTTTTGTAGTTTTTATGATCTGTGCCACAAAAGCGGGGGATTAACTGGATAGAGTATGAGATTATGCCTCCTCCCATTCTATTGCGTACTCCTCCTCCTCCTCCTCCTACATCTTCTTCTGCTTCCCCTCCTCATACATCTTCTTCTGCTCTACTCCTCCTACATCTTCTGGTCAAACAACTTCTCTTTCGATTTGTGTCCGAGGTTAGGGTTTTTTTTTAGGGCCCTGCCTTTTTTTCTCTGTCGTGTTTTTAGGGCTCTCTCGGGATGTGTTAGGTAATCGAAATTAAGAAATCAAATCCACAGTTGAGTGAACTCTCTTGCCCTTTGGTTGGGGCGTCCATTCTCTATGCATTTTTAATTGCATTTCTCATCATTTCATTTGATTTGATTTGATTTCATTTGAATATGATGTAGTAGATAATTATATGGGGAGGCTACCCGCCCAGAGGCAACGCCTTTCCCCTTTCCCCCTTCTTCATTACGTTCCTTTTCTCTCCTTTATGATGTCTCTATTTGGGAGCTCCAGAAGCTTGTTCTTTCGTTATCCACTATCCATATCCATCAATTGATTTGTGGAAGCTATCTCTATGGGTGGGGGAGAGGTGGTAGCGCTATCCGAACTTAATTAGTGGAATCTTTAGGTGTTTTTTTTTTACCTCCCTCCCCACTAATGATAGTTTAGGTGTAGGAGCTGAATATAAATTGATCAGAGATCTTGTTCCTAGATTTGTTCGCCCTCTCTAATGATATCTAGATACAAATTTGTTCTTCCTCTAATGATATCTGAGAGATATGCCATCTGGAATCTCCTACTACAATTTGTATAAACTTTTAATGAAGATACGAGCATATGCATGAATATATTGAAGATTAAAGACCACAAAAACCTAATGAACTTTATTCAAATATGAGCTCTGCAAAAATTCAAAGGTTCAGATTCTGTTTAATTAAAAGAGAGGCCCCACCCCATCCCTGTTCCAAGAACCTGTTGATTCGTATTTTCAGAACCCCAACATTGAATTCACATTTCCGTATCCCAAAATGAAGGAACGAAAAGAAACATGAAAAATTACAATCAAATAAACAAATATTGTTCTGCAATTCAAGGCATTTTTTGTTGAATTCAATTTGCTAGACCGAATTGATTGATACCCTTTGGTACCAAACAATTACCTTTATGGTAAAGTCATCCCCTTCTGATTAAAATTAAACTTTAGATTTTTTTGTGAAAGAGTTTTTTATCACAAAGACTAATATTTCGGCAATTTGTTTCCCATTAAAGCTATGAATAATATAATAAATATATCAATTTAAAACTTATATTGGCAACGTTTATTTGTTTCTAAACAAAATCCGAATTTTCTCACAAAATTCCTCTGTCTTCTAATAATTATAACACCCGAAACACGGCTAAGGGTATGCAAAAACAAATTTCAGACAAATATTTCAACTCAATTTAATGTAGAAAAAGAGGATGTTAGGGTTTCGTGGGTATTGTGTTGGTTTAAAGGGGTTGGGTGGGGTTACGTGGGTGTATTTCACGCTTCCTTCCTTTATTCCTTCATTTTTTGCTTCCCCAATTCCACTGTTCCACGTCGCTACGTTAATGGCAGTGCAATTAATTCGAGCAAATTGTCTGTGAACCCTTTTTATGACCTCTAAGAGCACCCACACAGCATCCGGGTCCTGGTTCACACAGCAGCTCTCCCTCTACCTCTCTCCCTTATTGCTATCTCTTTCGCAGATAAAAATTCATTAAACAACATTATTCCCGTCCATCCATCCGCTAAAGAGAGCTTTGTCTCGATTTGTCCCGAGAAGGCAAGCAGGGTGATAAAAGACAAAATGGGATCCACATCGCCTGAACCAACAAAAGCGCTGCGCACTTTTATAAGTTTTCCAATTGCAGATGAATTGAGGATCCTAAATATTTTAATATTATGAATATAATGAAAATTCTTCCCTGTAATGCTTTACCTATAGCTACTAGTTCCAATTGAAATTCATTATTTTCGTTTACCCAATCGCTATATTCCTTTTCAGCCTTTGGAATGCGCGAATGTATAATTTATTACCCTCCTTTAACAAAGCCCTTAACCGAACTAGTTCTCAATGCAATGAAAGAGACAGAGTACCTCAACCCATTAGTGGGATTCGTTGCTCGATTGAACACATTGTTACACGTTTATTCCGCTGATCTATTACACAGGCCATTTGTCTTGGCCAGAGGCTCGGACTCTCGAGACAATTCGAACAAATCCCGGTTCGAAGAACCCATTTTCAGTGGCACCCCACAGCGCGAACAAAAGGTAAACGAAGAAGGCAAAGGAGAGATGGGAAAACTGTGTCCAACTGAATGGAGTTTTTCCGAATAGCGGCGGCGGCGACGGCAGTGAACGCGAAATAACCTGCGACCTGAGCGCATTTAATGAGGGTCATAAAACCAAGCGCCAGGCCTGGAAAAACAGAGAGCAGAGCCCAATCCGTTCCAATCCACCTCCAGACAGACGGCAACGTGTAACCCGAACTAAACTCTGGGCTTAAGGAGCACGTAACAGGTGCGATGTCTGTCTGGCAATGAAATTATAATGCAGATTATAGCTAGGTAGCCATCGGCGTAGCCGGTGGAAAGAAAAGGACACCTTAATGGCCTAAAAGCTGACGACATTTCTGTTACAGTTTTACCAGTTTTCACCCGCTTTGATACTCCGCCATAGAAAACAAGAAACAGATCCAGAAACAGAACGGCACTCATTGAATCGTTTGTTTTTGGGAATTAGAGACTCAAGATTTCAAGATTTCTTTTGTGTGTTCCTATGCAAATGCCTGGGCGTGTCAACTTCTGACCCCAAAGCGAGGCATAATCCAAGAAAATACTACCAGGGAGAATACACAAAAAAAAAAAGAAGAACCTCCTCAACCCAGAGAGCAGTAGCGGACAGATGATGCGGCGGCGGCGGCACAACAATGAGAGGCAACAATGGAAATGCAGAGAGATTTTCTCTCGTACAATTTAAGCAGAGCTGCCTGAAATGCTCGACTTTCGACTCCTCTCGCCATAATCCAAACTAAATGTCTGACTTAATTTTGTTGTTCTACTGTCGGGGGGACTCAGGACGCAGGACTCAGGACTCGGCACTCGGGTTGTCATTGCTTATTCTCTATGCACTGAGAGGAATATATTTTGTGGAGCGTTGAAGTTGGAACAGAAAATTCAGATAAAAAGTGTTTTTTTATCCATTCAAATGGATTATAGGATAATCATGGAATAATATTTTATTTATGCTTTAAACTAGAATTATCTTGACTTCGCTTAAATTTAAATAAAATAAGTAAGTTTTCCACCTCACTGCGATGGTTCTTTAGGATCTTTCAATTGATGTAAATAATCTTTAAACATCAGATCTGCTGATGCCTGATATACCTCTCCTGATCTTGTCCTGGCCTTCCCTCATATTTCTCTTGTCATTTCTTTGATGACAGGACAACTTTTATCAAGCCTGCATTCCTCTCTCTCTCTCTTTCTCTCTCTCTCTCTATTTCTCTATACAGAATTCTTGTATCCCTTTCCTCCATCTATAGAAAGATATATTTTTGTGTATAGTTCGTTGACCTTTCCATCGTCTATTCAGGGGTTCCGTGTCGACTCTCTCCATCACTCCGCAAACTGTTTTGTGCCGTGTAATGGACCCGCTTGCCCACTGATGAATGACCGCCCAGCCGTGCCCCGTGTGCCCATCATAGGGCGTCATTCTCTATTCTCTGTTCAGTGAGCATTTGTCCTGCTGCTCCTACTCGGAAGTACTGCAGTGCCTCATCTTCTCTCCATTCTCCCCCCTGCACCCTCAATTGTGTCTACAATTCAACTTCAACTTTTTGATACTCATCTGAATTTGCATTATTTTCTCTCTCCCAACTGCTGTTTACGCTGATTCTGATTTTAATCTTTCAACTGCTATGCTGTGATGCTGTGATGCTGTGATGCTGTGACGCTGCCACTGCCTCCTGCCACTGGTTTTTCATCTTCTTTTCTTTATTTAGTTTTAATTTTTGTATATCCTGTACCCAGGGAGGTTTTGGGTATATTCGATATAAAAGATTATTTAAAAGTAAGAAAAAGTAAGTAAATATTAAATATTCACAAAAGCAATAGTGCTTTTAGCTACATATTTTAAGTTTAAATAAAGATACAACTTTTTTCTATACGGGGTATCCGTTTGACTTTAGAACCCTCCCTGGTCTTCTGCCTTGCCACCAAAGAGAGAGCTTCAATAATGGGTATCTTATAGCCCACTATAGTTTTCTCTCTTCTTTTCTTCTACCTGTCCCTGGACCTATACCAGTAACCTGTGCCTGCCGCATGCCTCATGCCCTCTGTCCAGGTGAACAGGTTCCATTTCTTTTGTTTGGTCTCCTTCACTTTCCGCACTACTTTTGCCTTAATTCATGACACTCATTCGCATTCGCATTGCGTTCTCCTGCAAAAAATGTATCCTAATTGGTTTTAAAATGTGATGTTACGGAGGTTTTTTTGTCCATTCCTGCTGCATTCCCATTGTATTTTGATGCTAGAACGAGTGGCATTTAGCTTTGTTCTGGTCCGGTCTTTGGCCCTTATTCAGATTAAATTTGAAAACAAAAAGGCGAATTCGAATTGATATGATCATGATCTCTGACCGTACGAGAAGTGCTTTGGTCAGATTTCATTGGCTTTTGGCGATTAAAATCAACCAAAGAAAAAAAAGAGCGCACTCACTCGCTTTTGTCTGCTCTACTGATTTTAATGTTCGATATTTTCCGGTTTTTTGTTTTGTTTTGTTTGCATCGGTTGTTTTTTTTTTTTAGCTTTTTTTATAAAGAATTAATTCCCCTGTCGCCTCAGTGGTTTACGGGGATTACCTTTAAATGTGAATACTTTTCCCCCGTAATTAACTTTATTTCCACTCATTTTCTGGCATATATGTATGCATTCAAGTGTTTAACTTAAACTTAAACATTATTAAAATTAAACAGAAATTTCTTTAGACTGATTCATTTTCATTTACCAAACCAATCTTTTTGGTGGAAATTCAGTTTTCCGTTGGGCATTTTCATTGGTTCTCTTTGAGTTTTGCGTTAACGTTTCATTGATTGTTGTTGTGTAGGTCAGTTTTGATGGTTTTAAGGTTTTTCGTTCTCTGGTATTAAATGATGCGGTTTACAGTACGCGATACTCCGAATAATTTTTAGAGAGAATGCTGGACTTCCCCTCTCCTTTACACATGCTCTCACGCGACGCTCGCTTGTGGATTGCTTTACTCCGAAATTAAACATTTAGCAGTTTTCTTTCAATGTTGCCCCTTTCTGTTAGCAATGTTTAACAGCGGAACAGCCAGAGAGAGCAGAGAGCCAAAAAAGAAGTCAGAGAGAGGGAGAGCGACTTTTGTTTGTGGAACCCATTTGAAATGTGTGTCATATGTTGGCCCAATGGTAGGTACTATGTAGTATGGGGCCAACAGCAAGAACCCATTCTATGTTAAAAGATGTTTCTACATGCACTTGAAACGAAAAAAAATGCACAAAGAATTGGTAATTTTCAACGGAGGAAATATACTCAAAACTCTTGAACATTTCTCCATAATAAAACCCACAAAATAAAATGAATTAATTAACAAAAGATTTAAAATTTAACGGCGACTCCGAATTGTTAACAGCAAAAATGCGCATGCGCACGCTCTCTCTCTCTCTCTTCGCTCTCTTCGCTGCTGCTCGTTTCGTTCCACACATGATGACATCCACAATCCACAAAACGTTGCATGGATTCGTACCTCGGAAAACGATTCATGAATTCTGTCGATTCAAACGTTTGCGGTACTTTGAAGCGGTGCGAAGCGCGCGACAGTTCCGTTCAGTTCCCGTAAAAGCGTCAGAGTCGCGTTCGTTACGTACGTGCTGGTGCGTGCCGTGCCTCATCGGTCTTTGTTGCAAGTGTTGTGGCAAGTGTTGCAAGTAAAGAGTGTGTGGCACAAATAAGCATCTGAATGAGAAAACCATAGATTGACCCCAGAAGCTCATGCTAGGCCCACTTTCTGATTGATGGTTAAGCGACAAAATCGTTGTGTTCTTTCGCGTTGGTCGTGCCACCATCGTCGTCGTCGCCATCATCATCGTCGGTGTCATCGTGTTGCGCCTCCGAGCCATCGTCGCGAGTTTGTTGTCCACATCTTCGTGAAGAGAAACAAAAAGCCAAATCTTTGTGGCAGTTCCGAGTGTCCCTTCTCCTGGCTGTTCCAAGTGTGATATGGCTGCAGCAGCAGCAGCAGCGTAGTGTGACTGAGTGTTAGTGTGAAAAAAAAGAGCATCAATTGAATTGGTTAGCTACAATCCCTTTGGGACATGCCACAGTGCCCAGGATCAAACAGGATGCCCAGCGGATTACACAAAGGGATTAAATAACAAAGTAATTTGCATACACCATACACCCGCAAATAAATTAAAATCCCGACAGGAGCCCGCCCGGCGGCACAAAACAAAACTAAGCATTAATTTATGTATGAAACTCTGAAGCCATACCCTGCCCCAAGGACCTGCCCCGTGCCCTGTGCCCTGTGGCCCTGCCCTGATACCTGCCGCCATTTGCCTCTCTGCTCTGAGCGGATGTCCGCTCATGTCCATGTTGCGAGTCAATGAAATTTTTAATTGTGCACGCGCGTCCAGGGAGAGTCCCTCTCCCGATTAACCACCCCAACACTCCTCCCCCCGCACACCTCTGTGGGTTGGTGGGGGCATGGAGCCTGCCTGTCGTGTCCAATGGGTCCGCCCCTTGGCAGCTCCATGTTCATGTTTCCCGCATATTTGTCATGCGTTTGGTTGAACGGATGATATGTTAGCCCGTTTCCTGCGGCTGCCTCCTTCTCTGTGGAAAGGTGTAGCCACAGGGGGGGCACCCAAATGTAACCCCAAAGTGCAACAACTGAAACGACTTTTCTTGTGCGGATTATGATTATATAATTATGACTTATGAGAGAGCGAAAATTCCAATTTCTGGACGTGAAAAGTGTCTCCAATACGATGTGAAAACTCTAGCAATTGAAACCATCTACAAATATGTCAGAAATATGCAGACAATCTTTGAGAATTTCCGCGAAAATAAATGAAATGAACAAACCATTTCCCATGTATACATTTAGCTCAAAGGCTTTAAGGAGAAACTAGAATCAAAACTTTAAAAAAGAAACCACCAAAAAGCCATTCTAGAAATCTTAAACTTAAAACCATTCCAGATCCTTATCCTTGCTATAAGCGGACTCATTCCTCTCCCTCTTCTCACAACAGCAGCATTCATTGTCCCCCACCCACCCTCTCTGCACTGAATCTTTGCTGCTTAGATAACTTTATTTACCAGAAAGTGGATTTCTTGTCTGCTCTTGTTTCGGCCCTTAAGCTCTTCCCAAATCTCGAACTTATTTTCAATTATCATGTCATCTTCCCCTCTGTTCCCCCACTCCCCCCTCCACCACTCTCCTCACGCATCTCCCTGCCACTGCTCGTGACTGCACTTGAACTCCGCTTTGGATTGTGGGGTGTAGTAAATTCGTACATCCCCCATGCCCCTTCTACCAAAAAACAAAAACAGAAAAAAAAAAAAAATTTACTATCGCCAGCGAACGACGCCAATTGAACCACTTGTCCGCATTCTCCCCCACCAGTCCACTGCTCTGTCTCTCTCTCCCGCGCCCTCGCACCCACTGTAACGGTTTGCCCACTCCTTCTGTATCCCACACCATCTCTTGTCCTGCTTGCTCTCTCGTTATGTCGTTGCGGTCAGTGGAGTGCCCGCTCGCCCGTGTGCCCTTTTGTGTGGTTTGTGTTTGTGTTCTTTTCTTTTTTATATTTTGGCTTGCACGCAAAAAGGAGACAGAGAAGTGGCCTCATGCGTGTGTCAAAGAGCAGTGGAGGGGGCTGGGTGGGTGGTAAAGAATACAAGGAGCAGCAGCAAAAAACAAGAAAAACAGCGGTTCCGGTGGCAAAGAGCAGTGGCAGTGGCAGGAGGTGGAGGTGGATGGAGGGAGACACATTGACCTCGCGCTTGCCGCCTGCAGCCTTAATTTATAATTTACTCTCAGCCTAGAACCCCTCACCTCCCCCCTCTTGCTCACGTACTTCCTTGGGCTTCCACTTTTTATTATTGTTATTATTATTTCTGTGCGTTTCCACGCGCTTTTCCTTTTCCCCCAACAACAACAGAAACAGAAACAACCACAAAAGGCCTCAGAGTCCTCTGCTCACTTCATCCTCTCTCGCCCGCCTCACCACTGGCTGCCATCGTCAACTTTTTGCCACTTTTGACTTTTTACACTTGCCGTCGGGGCCTCCAATGCGTCTACTTCGCTCAGCATACGTACACCCTGTCTGCGTAGAGGGTATGACTGTTTTCAGTCAGCATTCAGGCCCATCAGTCGTTACCTACCTCTCAAGATCGGACCATGGAGCCTTCAATGGAAAGGCGCTCTTAAGTTTTAAAGAATTTATGCACAGTTCTGTTAAATGAGCGATGGGATCTGCAAGGGTGTCAAAAGTTTTGGACAACCGAAATAATCATTTATTCCTTGCTTTCGCTTTTGTTGTTGCTGGAATGGAATCCTCTCCCTGGGATGGATCTACGCTCTTCCTAAAGCTCCCAAACGCTCTCCCTCTCCCATTCCATCACTATCATCATATTCCTCTTGTTGTTGTTTTTGCCTTTTCAACTACTTTTTTTGTGTTTGCGTTTTTTGCCTGACATTTGTTGTTTTTGCGGGGTTTTTGCTTTTGCTTTTGTTAGCTCCTGTTTTAAGTGCCTTTTTTTTGTTGTTCTTCCTTTTTTTTTACTGTCTGTGTGTGTGTGTGTTGGTTTATCATTGTTGTTTTTATTGTGGGTTTTTTCCTTTCGGGAATTTCTTCTGCTCGTGTTTCTTTTTCCCTTTCCGCTTTTGCTTTCTGCTTTTTAAATATTGGTGACTTTTGGCCCAGCGACTGTTGCTCATCCTCGTCCTGCTCCTCCTTCTCTCTCCCTTGTCCGTTTAGCGCGTTTCGTCTTTTTGTTTGTTTGTTGTTTTAATTAATTTGTAAATTTACTCGAAAAGATTTAAAGCAAAAGAGAAGCAAATTAGCCTGCGACCCCTACCCATCTTTGCCGCAAAAGAATGCAGATGTATGGCAGATGTCACTGGTGGAGAAGGATGAGGAGACAGGAGTTTAATGAGATGCGGGAGGGGCACATAATTGAAAGAAACAGGGAAATTAATTTACATTGGGAGACGTTTTGTGGTTCAAGTTTTTCTCATAGTTATTTTTCGACCAAATCCAAATGTTGAAGTTAAAATGTATCTTTACAAATTCTAAAAATTATTAAAAATGTAGAAAATATAAAAATCAAAATACAAATCCCCTACAAATGTGAAAAAAACTGAACTAACAAATATTTCCCATCAAAACCTGTATGGAAGAAATTACCTGCGCTATAAACCAACATTCTTTATAGACAGATAATATCAAATTTCCTTGCCAATCTCCGCTTACATATCGAGAAATGAAATGCGCCCAAGCAGAACTCGAGATACTTTCTTTCTACAGAAAATTCCAAGGTGGAAACACACACACACACACTCTGCCCCAGTTGGGTGCCAATTGATTGCTCCGATCCCAGTCACAGCAAAGACACAAAGACTGAAATTACTTTTGCAAACGAAATTTATTTGCAGCTGTTTTTCCGCTGTTTTTCTTAAGTATTTAACTTTTGAATTTCATAACCACAATTGAGGCAAAACTTTGTCATTCTCGGATTTGTGTCTGAAATATTGACAAATTTATGGTAACGATTGAAGGGTCGGGTGGGTCCCCCCCCCTGTAATGGAAAGGCATGGCAGCCAAGAGGAAGGCCAGGAGCAGAGGAGCCAAGAAGAAGCTCAGGGAAAAGCTGTGGAAAGCTTCGTCTGAGCAAAAAACAAAAACAAAAAACAAATTTCTGAATTAAATAAACAAAAATAAACTCCCAAATGTGCAATTAAAAAATTTTACAGTCATAACTTTTTATTATGGAGCATAATTCAGACTTTTTATGGAACGGCCCTGAGAACGTCGTGAGCAGGGGAGAGGAAGCAGAGGGGAGCTCCTCGTTTCGTGTTTAATTCCGTTTTTCGTCCTATTTCCCTCCCCCCACCGCCAATAAATTGTTCTTCCCTTTGGCACGCAATTTTCCCCACTCAAATTTGTTTCACTCGTTTCTACTCCGATTTCGTAGGATATATAATTGCATTAAAGCCCGCAACAGACCCGACTTTTATGTGTCTGCGTTTCATCATATTTTTGGTTTTTCGGTTTTCGGTTTTCGCCTTTTGGTTTTTATTTAGGTATTTTGGGGTTCCGTAGTTTGGGGTTATTCTAACTTTAGATTTTATCGCGACACGATTTCTGGTTTCGTTTCATATTTTTTTTTATTGCTGCTAAATGTCCGACACGTGGATGGATAGTGTACACTAAACTGTAGTTGGTTTTAGGATGCATCTTAATTGGAATTTTTACTGGGGACTTGGGCAATAGCTTTTGTGTTTTGGGGCTAAAAATGGTGTCACGTACCATGGATTGAATTTTCTTTTTTTTATGGAATGGAAAACTGATTAAAAGAATTTTCTATACTCGAAAGATTTTAATAGGAAAAATCTAAAAGTAAGGGAAAATTATAGAGAGAGGCTAGTCCTATCCCTATCCCAAAGATCCCTGCAATCCATTAATCAATTAACTGTGGGAATATTTCTCCATTGGTGAGTGAATTCTACTAAATTAAAAATTCGTTCCTTCGGGCTTCAATCTCATCTACCATCCTCTATAAGAACCACACTGCTCTTTTTCGTAATCCTCGGGACCGGGGTGCAGTTCTTTTCCTGGGTTTATTATATGTATAAACAACCAACTTGAGTGCTACGTTTTCCCCCCTCGGATATTGGTTCTTTGGCGCCACCAGAACACCCACGTGCACCCCTTTTTTGCTTTGTGCCTCCCTGCAGAGGCAAGGCGGTGGCGACTAGGCGTGAATTATGACCTATTGAAACCTCAAACAAGGCCCCAGCAGACCTAACAACACTCACACTCTCCCCTGCCTTCCACCACACACACACACACAAACACAATCATTTGCCACAGGACGCTATCCGTGCCTCTCCCTGTAACCCTTTCCCCCCACCACTACTCTCGTTGGCTGTCTACAATTTTTTACTTTATGACTTTATTCTGTCCTCGTTTTATGCATTTTTTATGCCGCTCCGTTGCGGTTTTCTCACTTTGTTGGTCGACAAATCCACTTCTACTCTACCCCCTTTGGTATCCCCTGCTAGCAGTCATCAGGGATGATGGCATGGCATGGCTTAATATACCCCATATTTCCCATTTCAGCCCCTCTATCGCTTAGTGTCTTTGTTTCTG